GGGGGGGGGGTCGTATCGAGCGATCGTGCGCCACAACTCTTGCTTGACCCTGAGTATAACTCCAGTTTTTAAGTTTTTGAATAGGGTGAGTAGCTAGCTTACCGCATTGAAATCATCCTGCTCGACTCTCTTGAAAGTGGAAGGAACCTGATACGTCTCGACCCCACGCGGCACACATAAATCTTTCTAAAGAAATTTCGATACTCCCAATCAATGAAGAATCCTTCGCTTACATTTTTCTCAAGTGCAATTCGAGATCCTCTTTGCAGCAGCCCTTGCTCTAGAAGTGAATCTGCCCAGATGTTAGCAGCCTTTTTCTTTTCAGACGGCTCGCCATCCTAAATACATGTGCCCTGATATCGTTATGATGAAAAGATGACCAAAGTATTAACTTTGTAATCAGCGAAAGGAGTTTTATCACTGACGCTGATATTACAACCTTTCCAGAATCAAAATCGCCAGCCATTTACGCTGACAAATGAAATAATACAGAACACTACAGGAGGAGTCTGCCTTCGCTAGAAAACTAGTCGTGGTAGAAAGCTAAGATTCTCTAGACTATACAATATAACAAAATACGCATTAGTGCAATCTTAATTCGCAAAACATGGAGTTTCTATCCATGTGCAGAAGTTTTGCGGAAAAAGAGAACTTTTGAGCATACCATATAGAGTAGAAGCAACATAAAATTCATAATCTCTTCCTACAAAGCTACACAAAGCAAACCCATGCGATAAATTCACTATGCACACGCATTCACGTAAATCTAGCAGGAAAATAGTAACTGAGAAAACTGCAAAATCACCAATCTGTAGCAGAAAACATTTTCAAAAAACCTCGATATATAATTCAACATCGCTAGAGAGCTCACCTCTTTATCAGGCACATCAGGTTTTAGTGGTAGTTCATCGTCATCCTCTTTGTCGGAAGTGTCCGAATCTGAATCTTGCCTTTTACAAAAAAGTCAGGGTAAGACTCAGAGACTCACCCTGCTTGTTAGTTCTGTAGGCCATTTAGGAGATCTGTAAATGGTGTAATTGGACTTGAAGAAAACAATTATCAGCACAAGAGAAACCTGGATTGAACCAATCGAATCTTCAAATCTTTGAAGCATACAAATTTTATCAAGACACAAAACTGTTTACATTTTCGAATCTGTACAAGTACATCGCAAATTATTAAAACGCCTCTGCTATACAAAACTTGATTTTCGCAAGAATCGCATCTAAGGAAGAAGTTCGTTGATGAAGACGCATTAAGAAGCAGATAATTAGCAATCAATAAGCATAAAATCAAAGGGAGAAGCTAAAACAACAGACTATCGGAGATATAAGAGAAACATTCTGTCGAGCCAGCGCAAGAGCAGACGACTATTTAAAGTTATCCTTTGTTGTGCGTATTACCCCATCCGCGACGATGATCGTCCTTATACTCGTCCCATCTCATCATCCTGGCTCTGGATTCGTCATCGTCTTCTTCAGCATGTTCTTTCTCACCGGTATCTCCAGCTTGACTGTAATATAACGGCTTTAGGATGAATACAGCCATCTGAGAGCGTAAAACCAAAAAACATGAGGTCTATGAGACATGAGTGTATCCAAGAGAATCTGTTAGAGCATTGCAGAGCATCAGAGATGGAAAAGCAAAGTATCCGTAGCTTGATCAACTATCGCAAGAAACCAAACGCAACATGTAATAGTTGAAGCATAGGAATGGGATTACAATCAACGAAGAAAAAGAACTGGTCCACCTGCTGGTCTTTCATAGAGAGTGGACGACAAGAGTAACTCACCCGTCGGAGCATCCAGGTTTCTGACTATTCAGTGATGCTGCGTTATTGCCAAATTTTTGGTTGTACCATTCATCTACAGTCATGGAGGGTATAGCTGGATAACCAAGCCCGAACACCTCTTTTTGCTTCTCGGTGCGTGTAAGAATAAATGGCTTCAAACCTGCAAAAAGCATAGATTGGCAAAATACAAACTCCGATGCTTCGCACCTGGCTCGGCTTTATCGTGTTTCGGTGCCATAGTGACAGGCTGTTCTGGCCTATCATTCAAATCACGTTGTCGCTTTGCCATCATGTCCACCAGGGGTAGCTCTTCTACAAAAGATTGCTTACGAAACAAACTTGAATAGAGGAAGAATCGTTTTCACAGCCAAAAATTCAGGGTGCAAAGGATTAATCCAAATGAACACTGTAAGGAAGATTTCAAATCAAAAACTGTATAAAAAGTTATGCCAATGGCTTCCATCAAAAGTTGTCGTTCCCAAAAAGGATACGAATGATCTAGACGAGGAGTTGTCTTATTCCTAGTTTTGTGAATGCGAGAATTAGGAATTAATCCTCCCTGAGTTGCACTGGTGACCAAGACAATACGAAAATATAGCAACGTTACCTTCGATAGAATGAAGCTCCTCCACTACTTTTTCGATCCAAAACTTCAATACTGTCAGGTGAAGTTCTCGCTGGAAAATAGGGAAATAACAAAAAAAAACCAGAACAAATTTACAAATTTACCAAAGATGATTCATCGTCTTTATTCATTTGCTGCTGTCTTCTTAGCTCCTCCATGATCTGCTTCAACTGTTTCTGCCTTCGAAAACGTGCTATCTTTTGTTCTCTGATGTCCTCTCCAGTGAACTTTTTCACCGATTGCTGTGGTGTATCCGATAAATCGTCTAAAAAACATTTACACGAGTTATTCTTCTACCTTGAAGGCAATGTCCCTGCAGAATTTCGTTTTCCCAGTCTTCAGATTACGGGGGCCTTCTCGCCAGGAGTAACCAATGTCTGTCTTTTCCGCGCATGAAAATGGCGAAAGAGCCTTTTTCAAAGACTTTCCAGGTCTGCATTCAGCGGAAAATGTGTTAAGTGGGCGGAGTCCGAAACCCAGGGAGGCGGGGCGCGGAAGACTTCCGGCGTACTTCCACT